GGGGGGGGGGGGGGGGGGGGGGGGGGGGGCAAGGGGTTGCGTGGGGGCTGCGGACCGCACCGGATGACACCATCTTAGGGGTGAGACCGAATGGAAAAATTGCATATTTCTAGAGCGCACACGGCTTAGTCTATAGCCAAATGTCATCAAAGGGTAACCGATCACACGTCCGCTAAACACACGTGCAACCAATCCGAATCGTGCTTTACGAAAAAGTTCAAGGTTGATTGCCTCAGAAATGAGTTGACCTTACAATAAGATCAGAAGACACCGTTAAGTTTTGACCATGGTTCAACGCTAAGTGGACGGCTCGGTGACTTCCGTAGGTGACATGAAGCTCTATTTATCTAAATTCTGAGAAATAAAGCTTTCCATTTATACCAAATACGATGTAGTCGGGAGATTTTCATACACGTATTTACTCGGTAAAAAAATGAAAAAACATTAAAAAATGAAGTTTTACACAAGAATAGGGTTAACAAAATACTATTTTACTATTTGTTTTAATAATGTATTTAATTTTTTTTTTGTTCTAAAAATGTGTTTGAAACCAAATTTAGCGAAACCCAGAAAATGCATAAAAATATAAAAAAAATATTCGCATGTTTGTCACTAGAACCTCAGTTGAGCACGATTGTAATACTGCACAAGGTCTGTTACTTTCTGTTTGTGATTTCACATTTCTCTGATACCTTTAACTTTGCGTTGATCTATTTGAGGAAGTTAATCATAGACAGTAGTATCAGCAGAGTTATGGTTTTAGTCTTTACAAAGTGGTAACCAGCCTAGAGGTCTTAAGATTGTTTTAACACGATAGGCGCTGTCATTTGGTCGAACATGCTACTGAAAAGTAGCTTTTAAAATCAGACCAATGTAAAATTTCGGTAGATAGAAGATTAAGGTTTAAGCAGAGAATGACAGGAGAAAAATTAATAGATGCCACAATCTCTCTCTCTCTCTCTCTCTCTCTCTCTCTCTCTCTCTCTCTCTCTCAGCGAGATGAAAACAGTAAGGAGATCTGTAGTGTATTCATTGCTTACATTCTGAACTCCAGATCAGATCATCAGCAAATTAAGGAAATAGAAGATATGTTTGGGGCTGTTCAACCCAAGAGACTACTACTATCAGCAAGTGAAGACGTGTTATTTTGTGCCCATTCCAAAATTAACCTCTTTCTATGATGAGTAATTAGAGGATGAACTTTTAAAAGAAATGCCAAGGCTTGGAGTACACCTAAAAGCAGCGGATGAAGGATATTGATTGTGATCATGTGACTCGCAGCTTTACAGCTTTCAAGACCAGCATAGAAATATTTTAAATAAAATAAATTTAATGTTAAAATTCTTAAATACATTAACCTCATGACCTTCAATTAATTTGCTTTTGTTCTTGCCATTCTTATGCTGTGTAGTTATTTTCTCAAGAAGAAATCAATCGTGGAAGTTGGGGGGTGGGGGTGGGGGGGAGGGAGGGGGTAACGCCATGCGTTTACCGCACCGGGTGTCAACAACCCCACCTATGCCACTGTATAAAGATAAGTGGTCGGCAAACTCATTAGTCAAAGGAGACAAAAAATCGGCAACAGGACGATTTAAAAAAAAAAAAATTGAGGTCCAAATTTCTTTTTAATGACTTGTCAAGAATGAGGTTTTGCTGAGTCTAAACCGATAGATCTATGTGGCCGACTGGCCGAGGCGAACTCAGGTCGTTAAAGAGCCGCGATATGCCGACCACTGGTCTAGGTTGAGACCTACTATGTATTCTTACATTAATACAGAAGAATCGAACAGGTTACCAAGAACGAATAAGTTACCTTTTTTGAGATTACCATCTTTAAGTCAATATTCGAACGAAAGATAATAAGGAATATAAAATGCAGTACGAGTAAGCCCTTCTTTCGATGTTATTTTTTATGCGCGTCCACTTCCGTTTCGGTTACTTCATCGGAAAACTATCATTAAAATCTGAATAGAAGGTGCGCAGAGTTTGGTTCAAATGTGTGTTGTGTGTTGTTCGTCTTTCGCGTGCGAAGATAGCCAAGGATGGAGTCGACGGAATGTACGGCATGTGGCTTTCCAGTCCTAATTTTGCACAGAAAATGTGCACGCATATAGTACACAAGTGTTTTGAGGTCATTGCAGGACTGAGGACGATTCTGTTTTCCTTTGGTAATCGCTTTATTTGGGCGTGAGCGGTACATTGAATTTTGTGAAGATTGTGCCACATAAGTGATTCTTCTTCGCCAGTTTTTGCGACATAAAGCAAGTGTTTTCCATGAATAGAGGACGATGTCCATTTATTTGAGGCAAACTTTTCGACAATAAAGTGTAATTTTTTTCTGTTAATAGCTTAGCGTTTCCATCTGGAAAGTTCACAGTACAATACTTCTTTAGACAGTCTTCTATCAGGTATTCGCGAAAACACTTCCTGTTATCATTATTATTATTATGTGATTTCATATTGTGCAGAACCCCAGCCTATGGCTAGGCTCACTGCGCTTTACATAAAAATTAGCAATTACAGAAACGTATACTTATAAATTTAAAAACAACAACTAATTAAAAGCTTGAGCTCACCCACCCAAGCACTATCTACCCCTGTCTAGCCATGGACAGCACCAAGCAGAATCAAGCGTGGTTTATCAGTCAGAGGGTGGTGACAATGAGTCGGTATAGTACAGTTTGTGGACACGGCTCTTGAGTGCAGTTTTGAAGGATGTGATGGACGTTATATTGCGGATTTGCAATGGGAGAGAATTCCATTGATTTGAGGCACAGACAGGGAAAGACCGTTCATCATATGTTTTAGTGCGTGTTATTGGAACAGAAAGAATACGCGTGTCTGCTGAGGAACGAAGCTTTCGAAAGGGTAAATGGACAGTAAGAAGTTCAGTAATATTGGAAGGGCAGGAACCAGAGAACAAAAGTGTGACAATGAACAGACAGGTTGTAATCAATGAGTGAAGTAGTAGAGGGACGTGATTACGTTTCTTTGTCTTAGAACAAACCTAGTAGCTGAGTTTTGAACTTTCTGCAGTTTTTCTATGAAATGTTTTGCTGAACCTTACAGAAGAGAGTTGCAAAAGTCCAGATGAGAGAGAACAAGAGAACAGGCTAGTATTTTGTTGCGCTTACTGTGAGGTAGTGGCGCATGGAGCTGATCTGATTGGATAGCGGTGTACGCAGAGCGACAGGTGTGAGAAATATGATTAAAGACAGACATGTTGTGAGAAATAATATAACCAAGATTCCTAGCAGAGAATGTCAACTCTATATCGGAGGTACCCACTTGAATCGAGATGGGGAGAGTTGTGTTAGAGGATGATTCATGATTGGTCCTCCGGGAAAAGAAACGTTTCTGACGTTGTTTGAGTTTCTTGTTGATATGAATGTAGATTTTTTTCCTCCATGTTTCTGTCCCGCTCACAAACTAACATAATTTTCTTTTCAAATAAAAATCTTCAACACTGTTTGTTCAGTTGTTAATTTTTGATCATAGTTTTTATTAAATACAATTTCGTTAATTTATTAAAAGAACCTGGACATAGAAATGCAATGAAAAATTTACAGCTGCCAGTGTGCACGTCTTGTCTTCTACTAACCCTTAATTCAATGGCTCCACAGCCCGCAGACACACACATAGACTCATATAAATAGACTAGTAGCCAATATAAACTGTAACCAGATGGCCAATTTATTGAAAGTGGTACCTGTCACAGTTTATCAATGAAATACATGTAGGGCACCAAATGAAATATCCGTACGGTTTATATATTTAATGATCAGAATATTTACCGCAAATTCAGTCACAGCTTTGGGTTCTAAATATTGGAACGTCTCCTAGAATCAGCCTTTTAATCTACACTACGGCGTGTATTGATACTGTTTGGAAAAAAGTTATTACTAAGTCCAAACATTTGTTATCGATTTGAACAAATTCATTTTTTTTTCATAAGATCCGATAAACTTTTCTACTGCATAATGCCACCATGATTTATAGATTGAAATAGCATTAGTATGATTTTAAATAGTGTCGATTCTAAAATTGCTCAGCTAGAAAAAAAAAATGGCAGACAAGTAAAAAGAATTTTATCTTCATTTAGAATAGAGGCCTATACGGATTGAAATAGTGTTAGTATAATTTTGAATTTCGCAATTTCCAAACTGCGTTCCCCTTTCTAATTTCAGAATATTAATAAACACCCCTTACCGTTGCCAGTATCTATTTTTAAATTGAACAGCTCAAGAAAATAATCAAAAGTTAAATTGAAAAAAAAAAACACACACAAAAAAAAAAGTTTATGTGAACTAATTTTTCGATATTCAAATCATTTCCATTATTTTTTTAAAATTTCATATTTTAATCACTTAGTTGAGACAAATTAATAGTTCCAATAAAAAACAAATAAAACGATATTACTTTTTTAGTAGCAACTCAATATATATTGGACGAATATGGATTAAACATTACTTTCGCCGACGATGGTATAGAAATTATGAAATAAAATAGTGATCATAGAAACTTGGGGGGTTATTAAAACAAAAACAGTGATGACTGGGGGTTTAATATAAAAGGGAGGAGACAGGTCTGCCACTTACAAAAAGGGTTAATTAATTAATGTGGTACATGTCGTAGGTCTGGGTGAATGTTTTGTAATACAAATATTCAAAGATTTTTTTTTTTTTAAAATCAGCTTTCCTTTTTTAACGGGTCAAAGTTCTAGTTTCATATAATACGTAGATAGTCCTTTTGGTTTCCTTTCTGACACATCAACTGCAGCGTCAGTGGTTTCGTACTCTACCACATAGTCTGCTTTTGGGGGGGGGGGACCACACCTGAGGCTTTTCCTATAATGGGATAACGATAAGAAAACAAAATATACAATTATTAAAATTATCGTTAAGCTTTGAATGTTTTAAAACATGAATCTAATGTGTTTTCTGAAATAAAAAAAAATTAAACATCATATGCATCAAATTTGTTTTTAAAATAAATATTTTCTTTGTGCGACAAATTTTGCTAGTTATTATATATAAGTATATATATATCTGTCATTGTGAAACCTCGTCCATTTTCAAAAAGTCCCTTAAAACTGATCTGTTTAGGTCCGCCTATGACCTGTGATGCACCCTCCTTGCCCTGCCTCATTTTCTGTTTCAGGTTGATCCTGAAGTATAGGCCAAAACTTGTCAAAGTGTCCTCGTTTTATAGCCATTTTCATTGTTTCTATAATATAGTAGTTACTATCCTAGTGTCTCATTTTTATTATACTTAGTTTACATGTTTTTTTTATAATTGTAAAGCGCTTAGAGCTTTATGGTAAGCGCTATATAAAAATGCCTAAATAAATAAATAAAAAAATAAAAAATAATATATATATATATATATATATATATATATGGGCAATATATGTTACTGTACTGATGAGCAAAAACTCATATCGGATCAAAAAAATAATTGACTACAATCCTTTATGACAAAGAAAAGTGCAACGGGCAGTGTAGAGAAAAGGAAAATGAAGTCAAGAACTCGCCGCGAAGAGAAAATTGAGACTCACAGAGGAGGCGGTGAGACCAAACTGAACAAAGCCGGCGCAAGAACACTACCAAGCTGAAAGACTGCTTCAAGGACATAATGAGCAGATCCAAGGCCTTCAATAAATCAAACAAAAGAAATGTGGAAGCAATGATCAGCCTGCTGAACTCTCATCACGCTCCTCGCCGAGACAGTCAACAGATTTCCAACTGTGTCGCTTTTTTCGATGGTGGCTGCCTTCGTGTTTCTTTTACAAACAGAGCTCGCAGACGTGATGCGACGCCATGAAAACACATCGCCCTCAACTTATACGGGCCCTGCGAGGCATTCCCGAACAGCAGCGGTCTGAGGGCAAGGCAGCTGAGTTGCACCTACGCCCCTCTACATCTTCTTCTCAACGCTCCTTCAGTGCACCCTCTGGACCTACCAAGAGAGTATGGTATACACTCCCACCAGATCTGTTGGCTAGCTGTTGTAAAGTCTGCACGCCTCCTAGCATACGTTGACAACCATTGCAGGTGTTAAAGGTAAGGGATACTTTGTTGTGGTTGGGTCGTGTTTGTAGAGTGACAACACGCTCACTTCTCATGACTAGGAACACGTTGGACATCCAATGGAAAACGAAACTGAGGCAGACCCTATTTTTCGGTTTTCGCAGATAAAAAATTCCAGCACTTAAGTTTGTTTTTTTACACAAATCAGCTGACTGACCCCATAAACAATGCGGTATATGGCTAATACGCTGTTCAACAATATACCACTCTGTGTTTTAAAAGTCAAAATATATTCTATTGCATCCACTAACTTCTTAAACAGAACCATTCAATGAGACTGTTGAGTTATCTGAAAATATGTTATTTGATCATCTCCCTGGTCCCAATTAGTTTAAAAAATCGGTGCTGCACTGTAGTTTAAAACTGTTCTAACATTATGGGCTATTTTAGGTCTATGTCTTTTTTTATATATTTAGTGTGTAGAAAATAAATATTTACGATGTAATCAAAACAATGTTTCTATTTGTTGTTTTTTGTAAGAATTTAATATTCAATAAATTTTATCTTATACTAGCCAATATACCCGGCTTTTCTAGGGTTCTTATTCGGGACAAATTTTTATAAAGCATTATAAGTAATAAATACGTTGTCAAAAACACTTCACTAAAGTAGCTATTAAAATTTAAATGTCCTCTTATAAAAGGCCACATTTATAATAATTCTTGTAAACATTGAAATCGGGGCCCATCCCTTCTCAGTTAATATCCTCAGAAATTGGAGTGTCTGTCATTGTGCTGAGTGCCAGCCACTGTACAGAGTGCCTGCCAGTGTACAGAGTGCCTGCCACTGTACAGAGTGCCTGCCATCGTACTTGCAAGGCAAGTTTCTTGACATGTATTCTAACCAGGTGTTTAAAGCTGTTAATTTGTTGTTGAGCCATATACTATCTGATTGGGATGGCATCAGCCATTTGTCTTATTTCCTGGTTCAGAGTGTGTGATCTACTTGCTATGACAGAACCTCACCTGAAACGTCTCATCTGGTAGAAAATTATTTTTCTCTCGAGATTTTTATTCAGAGCAAAGTTTTGACACTGTAACCTTACCTTTAAATTATCGGATGTCAATGATACAAGTTAGTCATTAACTTATTTTGTCTTGTATTTAAGAAGCTTATAATCAATGTACAACATATATATAATTTAATTATAAAAGAGTAATCTAATTTGGAATGAAATTGTTCCATGTGTAACAAATTAGATCTTTAAAATATTGTTACCCTCATAAAATGCACCCATCCAGTCAGAGGGGTAGTGTTACTAAATGCTGATTTAGGGTTTAATCACAAACTTACGAGTCTCCCTTCCACACACACACACACAGCCACCATATAATAAAGTTGGTAATAAAAATGTAAAAAAACATAACTGTAAATCCGTAGGTACCAAAACCACCTTCTTTGCAAGCCCCTAAACTATGTGATAATTCTAATGTACCACTTTTTGAAAACACATCCCATTAAGCTTTATTTACAGTGCTTGCACCTAAATAAAGCGCACCGAGAAGCTTCCTTTAATGAATGTTTGAAAGCGCACCGAGAAGCTTCCTTTATGAATGTTTGAAAGCGCACCATTCTCAACAACGGCTTATTAAACATGCCTACACTCTAAAAATAACTTAACTTAAATGTTCCTCGAAGTCATTTGGATATAAAACAAATTTTTTTTTTCAAATCTTTAACCTCTACAATTTTACGATTTTATAAATTACAGCTTTTGAGATAAGGGAATTATGCCCAAACTTTCCCAGAACAATCTGTATGTAAGGGTGAACATGTCAAATTACGTTGCGCTCCATGGATTGTTCTTCTCCTGATTAATCAACCCATTCACAAACAAACTCACGCTGAGCTTTATATAGTAGATCACACTTTTTATCTCTCAAGGACGTTCCTCCTTCCTTTTTACTGGGTAAAGTAAGTTTACATAAGGACCAGCGTACGGAGCCAGAAGTCCGAAATATTTTCAGAACCGCTGGTCTAGCCGGACTATAAATAAGGTAACATGTCGTTCACAATAGCTAAAAACTACCAAAAGGTTTTTAAAAATAAAAAAAAAGAAAGAACAAAAAAAATATATATAGTAATAAATTTTCGTGAAGGAAGTACAACATCAGTTTCCGCGACTGTCTGGGTTTTCCAGGGGAACATAAATTATTCTTTCGAGATTTTTAAAATCTATTATACATTTTAATGACAGACTCACCTAAATACGAACACTTTCTGGGAACGCTGTAGATCATATCTTCCAGGCCATGCGATGTGGTAGTATGGACTTGAGAACTTGTGGCCCCTTCCGATAATGTGCCGGATTGGGAGCTTATCGTGCTGCCTGTATAAACTAAAACAAATAAAGAGTTGAAGATGGTTTTGATAATGCAGAAAAAAAAGCAACACATTTTCCTCTTGTCTTGTCCCGGAAGCTAACCGGTACGTGAAACCAAGGCAGTGCGAAAAGGGTGGGTGGACAGGGGGGGGGGGCGCAGGCTGCCCTCGCTCTGAGCACCAACATCAGGGGGGTGCCAAAAGCGTCTTTAGATAAGACTATACTTACTTAATCAAACGATAAAATCCCATTCGCTTGATATACTTGATTCTATATAGTAAAAAGGGGAGAGGAAAAAAAAAAGGGGGGGGGGGGCGCTTTCAAGCTTCCCATGGGTGCTGCTTTTTATCGGCATGGTTCAGCTTTGAACATTAACTTTTGCAACGAGAGGCGAGGAATCTGACCTGCTGTACTCATTTTATTTAGTTTGTTTCGTTCATCGCGACGTGGATTCATTGTTTAAGTTTAAAGGGAGTTTATCAATCACTGGAAACTGAACTAAAATAAACATTATAGCCACGATGCTGCTTTTAACATACATATTCATCAATGTCCCACATATTTTATATATATGTGTAAAGTGTAAACTAACAATTGCGATTTGGTTTAGAGTACACAGCTAATTAGCATTTTTGACACGCAGTCGTAGAAATTATAAACCAATTTGTGGAGGGAAACAAAAAAAGATTATTTCAAAGTTAAACTCACCCGAGTCAGAGTCACTAGGATTTTTCACAAGCAGGCTGGTGAAATCATAACAGGGATATTTTTCAGCTTTAGGAGTTATATTGAATACGTACTTCTCCAGCATCTGAGCTATATCTTCGTGTCCATTCTCGACAGCTTTTCCCGCGGCGGAAACTCCTTTGTTGTTCAATGCGTGGACGTATGCTCCGTAACTGAGAAGTAGCTCAACGGTTCTTATATGACCGTTTTCAGATGCTATCATTAGCGGTGTGCACCCGATAGAGTTGCTACAGTTGATGTTTACTACCCGAAGACGCAAGAAGACGTCCACTGTGTCAAAGTGTCCGTTTTTTGATGCCATGAAAAGAGCATTGAATAATATGTCCTCTTTATCACCTTCATTAGCTTCATCTCGTTCACGGGCCATAAACATTTCGATGAGATTGCTCCGCCCGTGTTTTGCTGCCATGATGATGGGGTTCAAGAACATGTTGCGACCAGGATACAAGCAAGCCCCTTCATCTACCAACATTTTTACCATCTCATATTCCCGTTTCTCGACGGCCAAGAAAAGCGGAGTTATCCCGTCTTTTGTATATGTGTTTACAGAAGCGCCATTTTTCAAAAGAATTTGAATTGTGCTACGGTCAGCGAACAGCGTAGCCAGTATCAACGCATCTAATCCGCCTTCAGCCTCGTGGCCCGCATTGGCCTTGTGTCGGATCAGGAGTCGCACTGCATCGAATCTTCCCCTTTTAGCAGTTATCATAAGAGCGGTCAACCCATTTGCACTGCAGTGATTAGGATCGGCGCCCTTTCCCAAAAGCAACTCTAACATTTTTGTATCCAAAGAGCTCGCTCTCTCGTCAGAACTTACACAATTCCTGCCGTTAAACGCCAGGGCATGGGCAGCCATCATCAAGGCCGACCACCCAACTTTGTTGGAGTGAGCAGCGTCTGCCCCATGCGTTAACAACACCTCCACACAAAGATAATGTTTTTTATTCAGAGCTATCAACAACGGGCTCCACCCCTCTTTGTCCGTGGCGTCAACATCGCCCCCGCTTTCAATCAGTCGGCGCAACAACTGCTCATCTCCAGAATAACATGCTGCGATTAGGGCAGTCCACCTTGTTACGTCACTAATTACAGCATCACCCTCAATGTTGAGCAAGTCCAGTTTCGTGATTTGATTGACCTCGTCATCGAAACTGTCATACGCTTGGCTGCTGTGTGTTGATTGATCGTCGTCCCAATCTAGTGCTGATGAATGTTTAGTGGCCATTAAATAGGTTGGAGGAACCTCGATGTCTTCATAATCAAGATTACGAAATGATTTCTTGTAATCTTCACTTCTTTTCCATACGCATCTGAATGGCAGGGTGCACGTATTGCCCATATTACAGCAGTTGCAGACAAGCAGATGACCCCCCTAACATAAACTCTTGAAAAAAATTAAACAATCAAAATTGACGTGCTGGTGTCAGGTTAGGTGTGAAAAACTAATGTTCGATATGACGTTAATAAATCATTTTATATCTTTTCTCTTTCGGACCTCTCTGTTGCGATATTCTTTTAAGGTATATTATCTCTAGCTAACAGTCTGTAGTCAAAAAACGTCAAGGCATAAAATCCAGAGTGAAGAAGATCTAAGTATGCATTCTCTAGGTATACAGTTTCTTGGTGTGAAGTCTTTAGGTGTACAGTTTCTTGGTGTTAAGTCTCTCGGTGTACAGTTTCTTGGTGTTAAGTCTCTTGGTGTACAGTTTTTTGGTGGTAAGTCTCTCGGTGTACAGTTTCTTGGTGTTAAGTCTCTAGGTGTACAGTTTCTTGGTGTTAAGTCTATTAATACAGTTTTTTGTTCACAGCCTCAAATAAATTCAGTTTGTTCGTGCACACTAATAGGTATACAGTCTCTTGGTGTAGACTCTAGGTATACATTTTTTAGGTATAGCTGTACAGTATCTACAGTTAGCAAGACTTTCTATCAAAGACAACTCAAATAGCACTGAAGAGAATAAAACAATGTTGAATTTCTCAAAATGCATAGTCTAACGCACGGGTGGGCAAACTACGGCCTGTGGTCCGCATGCGGCCCGGCAACTGATATATGGCGCCCTCTAAGTCATTTAGAAATAAAAAAATGCTTCGTTTTTAAGTTATTTTCTTGAATTTTACATGATTGTTTGAACATTTTTTATCAAATTTCTTTCTAACTTTCTATTTTTTATCAAACGGTCATTAACTTTTGTCATATAATGCTATAATGCGAATTACTGATTTTAATATAGAGAATTTTCTTTCAACATAAAAAATTGGAAATAATAAGCAAATCTGCGGTGGAAAAGTTGGTGGGTCATTTGAATAATAACACAGTTCTGGGGGCTTGAGACAAATCTGCGGTGGAAAAGTTGATGGGTCATTAGAATAATAACATAGAGACAAATGTTCGGTTGCGAGCATTGGGGGAAAAAAAAGGGGGTGGGGAAGGGGATTTATTAGTTGGGATTCTTATAAAGTGCGATACTTGTATTCATGCTTTGTCAAATTTTTAGCCCCACCCCCATTTGCTCGATATTACACTATGTAAACAAGTTATACTAAAAACTGGGTTTAGGTGCTGTTTAATTTTTTTTCTCAATTTATTGCATTGTTTGCGTCAGGCACTTTGAAACATCAATACGGCACTGACCAAATATAAACCAATAAAACGATGTTTCTTTTTTTTTTTTTTAAATATAAAAGTGAAATATATATAAATTGGTTTTTCATTGAACAAGAGATTATTGAACACAAAAGATTTAAAGTAAAGATAACGTAATGAAATCTATTCAACAACTTGGACGGACAAAAACTTTTTCGAGAGACGATGTCATTACCTTGTTGTCTCTAGATTATGATTTCCTCAGCGAAACACCCACAAATCAGCCCAGGTCTAGCTTGATGTAAATTTACCCTTCATTCAAATCAATGAGTGACAGCCAAAAAATGTACACTCTCGACGAAAAATGTATACGTGACTGCCAACCCGGATGTTAAGCAACTATTCGTACCGCAACACATCATCTCATTTCTATATATATATTTATAGATATATTTGCTTTGTTTTGTCCTTTTCCCTTTTCGAAACCACCCTCCCACTGTGAGATGTAAAAATAGTTCCGGGGCAGGGGGGAGGCACGGGGGGGGGGTATTTTTTTATATGATAAAGCTGATTTTTTTTTTAAAAGTTAAATAAATGTATGTAATTTTTTAAATGTTATATTTAATATCGTTAATATTTTTTTGTTGAGCGTGGTGAGCCCAGCCCTAGGCTTGTGTACCACGCCATATAAGACCAATGTACTATTAATAACTCCACATGTTCTATATTAATTGTAAGCGGGGGGGGGGCGGAAGGGCTGTCATGCGTGACGTGTGAACTTAGGTTTAAAAAATGTAAAATTCGTCAGGTGGAAGCGACTATTATATCACATTAGGAAATGGAATCAGCAGGCCGTCCAGCAAAAGCTCTTTATACCCCCCCAAAAGCCAACCCCCCCCCCCCCAAGCCGGAGCATCTGGCAGTGAAACGGCACGTTGAAGATATCCCTTTGCCAGGACAGCCCCCCCCCACCCGAGTCCGCACGACTGGGTGCCGCTGGAAGCCGCCCCTAGCCCAAGGACGCCCGGTTGGTCCGAGAGTGTGCGTACACACAGTGTACACGATCAACTTTACCAGGAGTTGGGATGATAAATTTACGTCCTTAATATCTTCTCCCACCCATCCCGGGGAAACACTGGAAGCCTTATAAGAGGGTTTCTACAATGGGTTTCCACTACGCAACAATTTTGTCGGTTGCCTAGATAGCAGCTTTCTCAGGGCTGCGTAACTAGAGTCATCGGCCAGAAACCTCCCCATTAACCCATCACGTGCAGTAGTTGTCGTTTCAAGAGGTTTGCAAAAAAGAAACTCATCTTTAAAGTCGCCATCATTAATATAGCCTCACGTAAACTCTTAACTGCGAACAGTTTGCAACGTCTGCAGATTCATCAAGCTGGATACCAACTATTGGAAGTGGCGCAAATTTAATTTCCATGATTACCATATCAAGAATATCAATAGACATGTCATCTATTCTTCTGCGGACAGTGTCGTTAGATAAGGAAATCGCACTCAGTTTCGTAACAAATTCGTCTCCAATCATAATGAAATTTGTGACATGTCTGGTTTATCAGCCGGACCAAATCGATCGGTTTCTAAGACCATCGGCCTCGGAAATGTGTGTCTTCCATTGGTCTTTGGCGACCCCCAAAGGGGTCGCGACCCACAGGTTGAGAACCGCTGATCTAGTTCAACCTGAACCGTAAATTCTTCTTAGCTTAACACATACAAATTATATTTAGGTGAGAACATGTAGAGAAATAGAAAGTTACATACTCTGTTAGTACACAAATGGATATTGGTAAGACTCGAGATCCTACTGCAACAAACGTTGTTTTTAGATAGCTTTAACACAATCATGTGTTTATTTTATTGTTGAGTATATTTTTTTCCACGCTTTGAAATCTAATGCCGCATTTCAAATATTATATATAAATGCATGTGAAGGAGCACTGTAATGTTGTACTGAGAGATAAATCAATTGATTTATCAACTTTTTTTCTTCCCCCCCCCCTTTTTTTTTTTTTTTTTTTTTTTTTTTTACGTACTCTAAAAGACTTCAGGAATTTATTAATATAATTATTTAAAAAAAAACAAAAGTTTCCATTAAAATTTAGAATTGAAGAGAAATTATTCGGTGACGAATGATCTTCAAAACCAGACACAGAGAGTTCGCAAACCCACCCCCCTCTATGAACATAGGAGCCAAAATGATCAATACATTGATCGTAACCCCTCAAAATATAGAAGAAGAAAAAGATATGTGTAAGGAAATAAATTTAAAAAATTGTACCTTTAAAAAAATGATTCCACAAAATGTAATGAGAGTAATATGGGCAAGTACTTCGTTCAGGTTGAAGGCATCATTAAGAAATGGGACTGGTTTTTCCCAGCCGACTTTTGTATGACGCCCCCCCTTTATATATACACACAGGTAAATGAGGTGGTGTGTAGCCCGTCTTCCGGTCCTTTCTCTAGCCCCGCGGTGCGGGCTGTTGGTTGTAGGTGTTGTATAGGGTGGTTGGTAGTGGGGAGGGGGGTGTTTGGATCATAAGGATGAGGGGGAGCTCAACGTTGCTACTGTAACACACAATAGGTGCTGCATTTTGATGTAGTTTAAGAGGTCATTGCTCAAAAATATATTTTTGTTTTAAAGAAAATAATTTTTCTTGCATAAACATTAAGAAGTCATCATACACACACACACACACACACATACACACACACACACACACACACACACACTCACACACACTAAACATTTTATAGCTTCATTGGGTGAGGAAAAATCCTTTGGTTCTCATGTAGTAGCTAGTTATCATAATGTACATAACTCTTAATGACAGGAGCGAGTCATAAAACTAGACAATGAATTAGGGTGAAATTTCAAAGGTTATAGGTTAAAAGGAGCATATTATTACTGGCAAACATTTTTACACAGAAGATTTCTTTAAAAAGTAATTTGATACCACGAAATATATTTAATTTTATTGTCGAAATCATATCAAAAAAATTTCAGATAATTTCATCTTTTGTTGTTTTTGTGTGTGGGTAAATTTGCATTCAAAATTTCCCTCCATGAATTGATCAAAGAAAGTAAATGCTTCTTGAAAGTCAATCTGGGGGCCTTAAATAACACAATTGTTATTTGATTACAATGACGATAGCTTTGAAAAGTGTACTGTTTAGTGAACATGAAGCTGTTCATAGAGTCTAATTATAAGAAAACAACAACAAAAAATATTGCCCGATAAAGATAACGACAGTGTTAATTTTTTTGGTTCATTTAAATATAGATCTATATATATATATATATATTTTTTTTTTTAAATTTGAAATCTTACTCTATATTTCAAATACAAATGCATGTGATCGAGTACAGTAATGTTGCATTGA